GATGGCTCAACTCCAGTAGTTGTGTAAATGTGAGAAGGAGGCCACATCAACCAGAAGGTGATGGCTCAACTCCAGTAGTTGTGTAAATGTGAGAAGGAGGCCATATCGCATCTACATCAGCAGAACACCACCACCCTACTCTCAACTGAATGGTTCTAACCTTTTCCTTGTGGAATGCATTCAGGAGGGTGCCTATGTGATCAACCACCCCAACGGCTTGGAATTGGAAGAGGTAAGGATTCCCATACCCCACTTGAGGAAAGGAGGGTGACAATGTGGTAGAGAACCCAGAGGAATGTCATCATCAGAGACAGTGTAATGGGTGACCACAAAAGCCTTATTTTGAAAAGCAGATCATACCGAGTCATTCACTCGAGGCATGGCAAAGATGGGCAGCAATCCCCTTCTGCTTTACCGATGTAATCCATGGGTGGTCTGGTCCAGAACGGGCATGCTTATGGAGCAAATTATCGCGAGGTAATCAACCATCAAACGATCTTGTGTAAGAAACTGTACTGCAATATTTCTTATAATACTTACTTATTTTCAGTACAGTTAATTTTTGAAATCCATGACGGTGTTCTGTAAAGCTTATATACCTGTATATCTATATTATGACTTAGCAGTTTTATGTTTACTTGATAATGCATTCCCCAGAAGAACACTGCAGTGGATTACTAAATTCCATTCGTATATGAATGGTGATAATATACACAACAAACATGTACTTGTTAAAATAATTTACATTCCAAAATAAAAAACAAATGCTTGGTTAGATCATTCAGAGGCAATATGTAAATTTTTTCCATAATAAACAAGAGTGTAGTAACTTACCCTCCTCAAGTTTTACAAAATATTTTCTTTTTGGACAAAATCTTTATTTCCATAGGTATTTTAGTCAAAATGATCCATATCCATCAATACAATGCCATTAACAGTTTAATTTTGACAGAAATGATGCCTACTGCATTTCGCACCTAAGCTCCTCCTATACATATTCATTTATGTATCTTATGGTTTTAAGATTTAGTTATTAGGATTTTACAGCTCACCATGTAGAATACCTTACACACTAACTAATCATGGATTAAATTAATGCTGCCACAATCTGTTCAGTCATAATGTAGATATACAGGTATATAAACTTCACAGAACAAACTTGCAACACATATTGCAGTATAATTACTTACACAGATGTAAACTAGTCTAAAAATGAAACATGATTATTATACTGTTACAAAAGATAATCTTTGTTACACAAACCTATTACTGATTCCATTCTTTCAAATATTTGAAATTTTCTTGTCAGAAGTACAGTTTATCTATTTAGAGATAAGTTATACAGTATGTATGTGTTAAGCAGCAAGTTAAAAATACCATTTGCACAGCTTGGTCTTCCAATTGGAAAGTCAAAATGGATCATAAAAACAGTTCCACCTCTTTCAAAATCCCAATTTCACCACTATCCAACATGCAAAGTATAATGGTAAAACTTTTTGTCCAGGAGTCAAGTGATATGAATTTCAAACCCATAATAAGGCAAGAATTCATAACATTTTTTGTTTCCAATATGACACCTTTGCTACTGAAATACTCGAGTATACACTATAATTCATCTATGGAGTTTTAAAGTTTAATAATAGGTGCTGCATTTTAAGTCTACAATGTGGTCAAATCATGAATGTAACAAGTCACATCTTCGGTAGTCATTCCAAAACTACTTTTGGATCATGAAACAGTTTTTTTTCAATTTAAAAGTTTAAAGCATGTTTATTATCATTAGTATTTACAATGAAAAATCTCAGAATTAACTTATTTAGACGTAAGTTTTACAGTATGTAAGCGCTAAACAACAAGTTAAAAATACTATTTGTACAGCTTTATAGATTTAGATCCTAGTTACCACAAGTAACTAGTTAGTATGCCAAAGAAATACCATAACTATATTGATGAACATGGAAACTGAAGAAAGAAATCTATGTTATATCAAATATTGTTAATACAATAATATTCCCTTCTTCATATAAACTAGTATTTAAAAAACATAACCCTTCTTTTCTACAGCATCAAAGTATTCCTTTATATACATTTTTTACACTACATTATAATATATTTCTTACCTCTCTTTCACAGTTCTTTTCCAATCTTCTCTTTCGTTCATGATGTCACGAAAGTTATCATTTGATACTATTATGCCACCATTTCTTGTTGCTAAGTCAATAATAAATCTGCCAGTTTGAGAAAAAACTATATGAAAATATTACATACACTATTTTATTGTTTCATAATGTACATGTATAATAATTAAGCAGCCAGTTAGCCAAGTTATTCACACACCTTGTTTAAATAGGATAAACATAAAACTAATATCCAATAAATATGCGAGTCTACCATACTCACTAAACAGTAAATTTACTAAGGTTATCTGATTCGGTTTCATTGGTGAACAAAATTAAAAGAAAAAAACTCATGTTTACAAACATTGCAATTAAAAAAATCCATAGTATATCTACTAAAAATTAAAACTGTAATTTTAAACAAAGAACCAAACACCAACAAGATATCTTTACTGAGCCCTGAGCAATTTACAGTCACGTGACTTTTGTTTCATACTGTATATATTCTTGTTTCTAAGTAAACAACTTGAACCTGACGATGACAAAATTTTCTCCAAACGTTTTACGTTTGTTACTGTGTTAAACTTATAATAAAGTTTTCTTTGTTAACTATTTAACCTTTTCTAAACTGTATCAGCTTACCTTTTCTCAAGTTATCTAATGTCTTATATTGAATAAAACTTCTGTAGCTTTCAAATAGGTATAATTTAACATGCAAATACTTTCACAATTTACAAGCAAGTAGATTATTTACAGAAAGTATAAGAAAAAAATCTCTTAAACCTACATATTTACTCTACTATGATGAGATATCCAAATTTTGCTTTATCCAATCAAATTTAAACTTGTTTTATAGTTGTTTTTAAAGCTGTGTTTCATTAGTAAACAGTCAAACCACTTGATGTGCCACCATATTAAAGTATCAAACAAGGACTCTACAAAAGCTAAAGACAGATGCTTAAAAATCAAAAAATAGATAATATATATAAATAAGAAGTGATAGGTCCTTAGCATTTTTATTCATAAATTACATAAATGTCAGAAAATGACAACATATTGGTTCTTAAACATTTTTGAGTTAAAACTGTTGAAATATAGTTGGAATTAACATATAAAATTAACATACAAAGTGGCAAAAATATATGAAAAGCCAAAAAAAATTTTCAGATTTAATTACAATGATTAAATTAAGTTACTTTTTAAACATAAACTTTGTATATGAAAACATATGATACATGCAGTTAATACAACTGCATTTTTGATCATTATGAAACAATGAAAGATCTATTCACCTATCAGTAACTTGTTACAATAATACTGTGTACACTTTTCCAGATTTGTTATTCTAAATAATTTAACATTGTTTTACATGTTCATAAGTGTGTTTATGATAATATCAGAGCCTTAATCCTATGTGCACAGCACAGTAAATGTGCACGTCATAATTAAATTTTTAATGTGTGTCAATAAATTTGACATGAAATGTAGTTTATAATTTAAGTTTTAATATTATCTAAGATTTTAATATCTTAATTTCAAAGAAAATATAAAAAGAAAATTCTCAATCTTCACTTCTTTATGTCATGACATATCTATGCTCCAAATTGCCCATTTTAGATTTTCTTTCTAAACTTATATTAAATATTTTTCATATTTTCTGAGAATATAATTAATTATAAACATATCCTATAGACATTGCCAAGCCAGAATATATTCTTAATACCTCCAATCATCTTCTTTTACTGAAATACATAAAAATTTCAAGCTCTCCCATTTCATTGTCTCAAGAAATGTGAATAACTCTCTCTCTCTGACATTGCTATTGAATTATTATCAACTATAGCCAAAATAAAGAACAGTTTTTCTTTACAAGATTATATATACTGTTATTTTGTTTTTGCACCATTAAGTACATTTTTAGTCTGTTTCATTGTTTGCAATAGTCTTTTTATGCTCCAAGCAGTTAACAGAATTTGTTAACCTGTTTGTAGCTTAGTTAAAAAGCAATAAAATTATACCAATTTTATGACATTTTATTCTAGTATCTGATATATTTTGTGTGTTCTAAAATGCTTACTTAAAAGGAAATTCGACGATTTTGTAGAGAATTAACATCCTATAAATAAACATATGCTTCAACTCTTATGCAAGTCCAAAATTTATTGTTTTTTATGTATATCTTTATTTATTGTTATGTATTTTTAACAAAAGTAATTAAAAGGTAAAAACTGAAAACTCGGGTTGGATGTCAAGAATTCATAAGTAATTAAATAACATTTCACGAGACCAAATCAACTTGCGTCACATGATTCTAACTTTATTGGCTGTTTCCACTAAATTATCCCATTGTTGTCACCTATGATATACTCAGATGTAGTCTAAAGGGTATTGCAAAGTAATAAGTTAAAAGCAAGCAGATATGATAAGCTTAGATAACAAAGGCTATTAGAATAAATAATTGTAATAGTCTGTTACAATTTGCAGTTAATCTACAAAAAAAAAAAAATCTGTTTTTAATTTGTAATTTTAATTTTTTTTTGTTTACTGTACATTGATGATTGCACTACAGTTAGTGTTAGAGTAGAGAAAACAAGAGATAAAATATTTAAGTTTCTCTCCAGAAAAAAATTTTGAGATTCATTTAGAAGGTTTTAGAGGTTATGCAAATAAAATATGAAAAGTGTATTTCTAATCTTATCATGAAAATGTCTTTTCATTCAGAATGGCTTAGTAAAGGTTTTGTATATTCACTGACAAATCTTTAGTAGAAATACTTCATTATAGAAATCTGATTTTTTGTTTATAGCATACTTGCAATGTTTACTGAAAACTTGTAAAATTTTATGAAAGATAAAGTTAGTACATTCAGAGTTATATTATGTATAACTGAATGGTGGTTACGAGGTCAGTCAAACTGACTTAATCCATCTAAACAGGGTTAACCAAATGTGTTTTTATCTTTACCTCTGGACTGTTGGAGATTCCAGCCTTCAAGAGTCAGAATTTGTTTGGTTTAACTACAAGGTTAAGCATTTATTTAAGTTTTACTTTTACATTACTTACTATTAATTTGCTGGTGTAATTTTCAAATTTAGATTTTTCTCGAGTTTACTCATTTCTATTACCATTTTAACTTACAAAAGTGATTGCTTCTGATCTGGTAAGAGAAACTAGTAAAAGTTTCTCTTGCACCTCTTATCAGTTCAATATATAACCAAGAGAAACACTTGTCCTTTTATCAAATATTGTGTTTTTGTATTTAATAATCATTTTTATGATTTGTGTCTCTCTCTTTTTATTCAAACAATAAAACCAGTTCGAGCTCAGGGAGAAGAATACTCTGTTGTTCCATATTCTTAAGCCTAGTTAGCAAGCCCTAACCGATTACACTGAAGTAGATTTGCAAGCCTGAAAATACCATACAATTGTCTACAAACAAATCTTTACAGTTTTTAATACTAATAACACAGTATTTTGTCTTTTTTTTTATCTTTAAAAAAAATACATAGTGATTCACATGTAAGAGCTTAAATCATAAATGCTAGTGTTAGTGTATCCAAATAATCTAATCGTTAATGGCAGATGTACTGTTTTATCTTTAGTCTTCACAAAAGTTTATGAAAAAGTAGTAGTTGCACTTCTTTATAATATATTTTCTATTTTATTACTATTTCCACTAGTGAAAATAACCCATTTTATAACAGTTTATTAACATTGAGTCTACTGATTCAATATCACAGAAAAAAAAAAGATATTTGTTGTGGGCCTAGGATGCATTATCTGTTTGTAAGCTCAAATGCAAGCACTGGGGTAAAACTAAGTTTAATATACAAAAAGCTTGGATTTGAAGTTAATATTTAATTTTTAGAACTTTTTTTTATTAACTTAAAATAAATTTTATATTAAATATAGCACTTATGAAGATTACACACAAAAAACTGTCAAAAACCACTTGTTTTTGCAGGCCAACTGGTACAATTAATTTAAATGTTTTGTTGGAGAAATCACTATTTGAAACATTGCATACAATGCCATTGACAATCTTGTTTAGACAGCTCTCCAGAGGGTTTGTTAGCTTTAGTTGATTAGTTCAATGAAAAAAAAAATTCAGTGAGTGAGATGCACTTGAATATCACAAATTTCTGACCAGTAGATCAATATTACAAGTGCACTTTGCATCTTTTTTTACATAAGAATAACCAATGCACCATTAAAAATATAAATGTAAAGGAATCATCAAGAGTCTTAGAATTAATAGTTATTCACTCAAAATAGAAAAAATATTCAAAAACAAGGGATAAAAAACCCCATCAAAATCAGCTGAGAATGAGATGTATATAGCAATATTCCATGTATGGATCCAAAAAACTAAATCTTAGTCTATAGCATCACAACTTTCCAAAGCATTCTTGAAACAAAAATTCATAATTTTTAAAACAAGATAACACATACAAAAATACAAAATTAAAAACTACCATTCAACAGTTAAACTTTCAGTGTTTACCTATCATCATAACTACTGATAACTTTGTCATCAATTTTCCGAGATGGTGTGAAGACAATGAACTGTTGATCACCTAAAGCTTCTAACAGGTGCTGATCAGTAACTTTGAAGGACCAGCCTTTAGAACGTCTGTATTGGGGAACAAACGCTGTGACATCATGGTGGCCACGGTGACGAAAATAGTTTATGCACAGCTCAATACCTCGACAAGAAAATACATTTTGGGGTTTTCCATGTCTGTGAAATATTAATAAAAAACCAAAACATTAAGAATATTAAAACATCCAAAAAAAATAGTAACTTTTACACCAGGTTATAAATTAACATCAAATACATATTTTGCATAAAACTCACTGATCTAATACACCATACAAAATAAAAAACTTAAAAACAGATATAAAAATGATTATTTCTCTTTATTATTACAAACTTACGTCATAGCGATATTACTTCCATCAATAACAATTGGCCTTAATCTTCGTTTCTGAACAGGAAGAACAACACTTGTTGAAATACAATTTCCCTGACTTGAGGTCCCAGCTACATCAAGATTATTTTGAACTAAATTTTCAGAAGACAATAACTCCCCCTTATCTATATCAACATTACAATACTGTTTTTCATTATTCACAATTTCACAACGATCATATGATAAGCTGTGGTTAGTTCCCATAGATACTGTACGAGAAATTACAGTATCTTTCAAATTATCCAAAGTTAACTGAACTCGAAGCCTATCTTCCAAGTTATTACAGGATTTTTCATTGTTCACTGGAGCTACTGAATTAAGTCCACTCTCATTCACAAATGACTTCAAAAACCTTGCAGGTTTTTTTTTTCCTGCAGTACTTTCTTAAGATTTTTGATGTTCTATTAAAATTCCCTGGAGTTGAGGTTTTAAATTTATGTATATTTATACTACTGATAGAAAATCTCCTTTGTTTTATTCTTGTTATACACTTGTCTTTATTGTAATTAATTTTTTTGCATTTTTGATATTTAACTACTTTTCTTTTACCAGTCAATGCAACTTTAACAAACTGAATGTCTGTGACTGAATCATCAGATTCAACATCAATTATTGGATTCCTTGTGTGTTTACCTTTTTCATTGGTATATGCACTCACCAAAGTTTTTTTCCCAATGTTCTTCACAGGTTTGGAAGATTGCGCACAATATTCTTGAATATCAGAAACTGAATCATCAGACTCAATTTCAATTACAGATATATTTTTATTTTGACTACATCCTTCAGTGTCTTCAATAACAACAACACTGTCATCCTTTTCATTTAAGCTGCCTATTGAGTTGGCAGATGTAGAAGGCAGATCTCGACATATCTGAGAGTTGTTGCTAACTTTAAGTGCTTGAATAACCCATGACAGAAGAATCTCTTTAAGTTTGTCTGGAAAATCTTTGTACCTACTGATATCAATGGATATGCTGTACAAGCTTCTCACTGCAGAAATAAGCTGTGTATCCAGTTCTTTACTCTTACTTACACTAAATGTTTCCAGATGGTGTGTATCCACTTGAATGGCATTATCACATGCAAAGTGCATTAGGGCACACACATTACAAACAGCTTTTAGTGAACCTGCAACACATAGTGAATAATTTTCTTTACCACAAGTAATATGAACAGAGTAACCTTGTTGGAGTGAAACCATCCATACATAATTACCAAATATAATCTGAAGCTCACTAGGGTATGTAAAAACTTGAGTTTTGCTTGGTTCAGTTGTAAGTTGCACTATGTATTCCTACAGAAAGAAAAAAAAACAATCAAATACATAAAATGAAATAAGCATTGTTATACCCATAAATTAAGCTGTAATCCCACATTCAAAACTCATTATATTTTTGAATGTGCAATTCTTAAATGCTAATATAAACAAATTGTTACTGTCTGATTAGATTTATAACTTATTTAAGATGATTTTCAACATGCAAGGACTTTTATAAATGGAATGTACATCAGTCCTGTAAAACTATGTGGAAGCCATTATCTTAATGACTTATCACCACTTATCAAATAAGTAATTAAGTAATTTAATAATGCATAAGAACTACAAATACAAATAATTGTGTTACAGAAGGAAAGGATCTTATTCTATTTCATCAGTCTTTCAAGCCATCCAAGGAATGTGCTGTTCCTAGTTGCAAAGCAAATATCATTTTAGATTATATCTACAAAAAAACTGTCTAAAAGAATTTATAATATCCTTGTGCATGTCAATGGTTTGGCATATCTGGAATAACAAGTTCTTTCTTGGGCTCTTTACCTTAGAATGGACAATGAATAGTTGGAAATGGTTCAGAGGAGGGATACTAGAATGATTCATAGGATAGAAAGGTTGTCATACAAGGACAGGATAAGATATCTGAAACTATTTTCTCTTGAAAAAAGAAGAGTCATAGCAGATGTGATTAAGGTGTTTAAAATTGTTAAGAGAATTGACAGTGTTGGTGCATCATCTTTCTTTACACTTAATAATAAGAATGGTAAAACTAGAAGACACAAGTATAAATGTTTGCAAAGTAGGAGTCATCTTCAGTTAAGACAGATTTATTTTTCTAACAGGGCGGTTGGCCTTTGGAATGGTAATAATAAGTATTCTTAATTATGAATAACTGGCAAAGAAAAGAAAAGCTTCTCTTCCCACTTTGCTGTAGGTCATCAGGTAGGTACCCTTGCTATTAGTAGTGTTTTCAGCTCTTATCTCAAGAACACCTGATGATGTTCAGTCTGCTTAAGGAAATTACTAAGCATCAAAGTAGAACTGTTACATACAAAGCTTCATGTACCATACCTATCACATGTGGCCAACCACATTATCATTATTTAAGAAAGTTACAATTTTTCCTATACTAAAAATGTATTTCCTATAGGTACTATCCTCTTCTCACAAAATTAGCTATTCTCGTCCAGTGCTGCCCTTTATATGCAAACTTTTTTCTTTACACATGCCACAAGCTTTCTGCTCCCCCCTATTGGAATCAAATAATTTCAACATGTCTGACATGCAAATCATCATGCATCACTTCTACACCAATAGGAGCATGACATACTCATGTGATGCATGTGACTCCCTCTATACACAATACAATACCAAAATTATTAATGCAATTCTGTCAGGCTGTGCATGTTCATGAACCTTTATCTTTAGTCTTTCCTGTCCATATATCCTTCATTGCTTAGCAAACAGTAAATTTTCCTAATATACTACTCAGATAATCTAATGGATTAAATTACAGACAATGATGCATTCAGTTATTTACTGGCTCCAATGTTTCTACAAAAACTCATGATTATTTTATATAATAAATTAAAACAGAATCACTGTCAAATTATTTTACATAATTATTATAAATATTTTTGATAACTGATGAATACACGTACAGGTATGAAATAAAAACTCCATAAAACTATGTACATTTGTCTTATCTTTGAACTACCAGTGTTTACCAAAATAATCAAACTAAAAAAATTACCTATTTAACAGAAACAGCCTTTCTCTAAATAGTAATATATATATTGGGGAATTTTAGTATATAGTAAAACAATCCTCTGTGACATTTATGAAGACAAGATGAAGCCCTTAAATTCTATTTAAGGGGGAAACCTAGATAATGTTCATGTTATCTATTATGATTGCCTTCACACTCCATGACAATTAATGGTAAACAAAACGATCAATGTATACAAAACAATGTTTATGCATAAGATACACAAACTGATGCGCTAAATGAACCAAAATTAGTTTGTATCTGATTATTTTGGTGCTAATCATTATTATTTTTATTTTTTTGCAATCCATGCCCTAGATTGCCTAGAACATTTAACTTTTCCCAGTTTCTCTGATCCATGTGAACCATGTATAATAAATGTGATCTAAGTTATAACCCAAATGTGTTCTCTTGCATTTAAATATAATGAAATGCCATTTACCAAATAGTTGGTTAACTTTCAAACTGATCCAAGTCATTCTGTAATATACCTCAATGTCAACACTATGGCTAGACATGTCCAAAGAGTATTGTCACTTGCAAAGTTTACTATGTCCTTATCAATATAAAAAAAAACGGAAAAAAAGCAAGGGCCCAAGAACTAACCCCCGAAGCACTCCACTAGTAACAAGGGTCTAGTTTGATTTAACTCCTTATTAACAACCTTTAGCTTTCTTTCATCTAACCACCCAACAAGTACAACTACAAGTAGAATCCATTCTCTACCCTTGATAATGTGATTTTATTAATCTTTTGTATGGCACATCATCAAAAGCTAGTAAAAACTTAAAGAACTTAACTTAGAAGGTTATAACTGTTTTATGAAAGTCATTATATTTGTATTTTGATGTAAATTCTTATACATTATTTCATTGTTTTTTAGTGCTCTTTAAATTAAAATTAAAAATTATACTAAGACTATCAAAATTTACATACTTTGGCTGCTTTACATTTTTTCCGATCATGTCCCATCACAACAACATTACTTCTAACACTGGTTTGATCTCCATAATGTTCTTCTTTTTCACACAACTTAATCTTAAATAGACATTCTATATCACGCTTTCGTTGATATAAAAAATGTTTTTGAGAATAAGTTAAAGGGACCTTAATTTCAAAGTCTTTCGAATGTATCATTTTCAACAAAACTAAAGCATCAAAGAAAATGAAATATACAGTATTCAAAACTCTTATCTCATGGGTAGGAAATTATGAAAAAGAAAAAGGGTCAAACACAATGCTTTTGTCAGAAAATAAAAGGAGGAAAATAATTATTATAGAAATTTATTTACTAGAAAAAATAATCAAGTTTATGGATATTTCTATAACAGTCTTTAACTTTGGTATTCATCGTATTATAATAATGCAAAGACGCTGCCGGTTATGATTATGTATAAAAATCGAACATAAATGACACATAACTGTGTTGTAAAACATAGTATAAACCTTATAAGACAAAACAAACGTTAGAAAACCATTTTATTAATTCATATTTTAAAAAACAAAGTAACGTCTGTATTACTTAAAGCTATAAGTTTTACTGTACACTTTTATCTGTTAAACTTTAAAAAGCATGCATATATTTTTGTACCACTCTAAATTTCATACTAAAGGGAAATGTGTACATTGTGTACAAAACATTATTTAGGGTTGTGGTATTTTGTATTTGAATGCACAAGTTTTATTAAATATAAAAGACAGTGCTGTGTAGTTAAAATAATTAAAACAATTAAATGACCTGCAAAGACTACTCGCATATGAAATTAGATTCGTGGAGTTCAAAACGAATTTGATGGCCGTGCGGGGCGTCTCAATGACTGCGAAGTAAAACCTAAGCGAGTTAAACCTATTCCACAAGTGATGTCTACCAACTGTCTTTAATACAAAAGACACTTTGGATCGAACGGTCTGATTAAAAAGGAAAACCTATATTGTAAGAGGCACCAGATCTCATGATACTTTTAAAATCTGGGGCAAGTATCAAAATTCAACAGGGTGACGATACCAGAATTCTAAGTGTTTGTAAACAATTGAAGAAATTCACGCATAAAACCTTAACACATGGACACTGTTGTCTAAGATGGGGCTCCGAGGGGTGACAGACTTATTCTCCAAATACCTTTACCTTTGCAATGAATAGTACTATCTATACCTACATCTCCCCTATGCATATGGTGACGTTGTCCGCAATTCTCTACTCCTAATTTCATTTTTGAATAGTTTTATGAAGTTTAAAAGGCTTCCCACGCATGCGCGCACACTTTGCTTTTTTACTTATGTAAATATTATCGTAAATGTAATTCAAAAAACATTTAAAAGATAACAACTCGCTTCTATGTTGTATGAAAGGGTTCTGATGAGAACTACTAAGATGATACTTGGGATGGAAGAGTTGTCTTATGAGGATAGGTTAAGATCTTTGAAATTGTTTTCTCTTAAAAATAAGAAGAGTTAGAGGAGACCTGACTAAGGAGTTCAAGATTGTAAAAGGGGTTGATAGTGTTGATACATAATTTTTCGTACTTAATGGTGAGAATGATAAGACTAGGGACACAAAAATAAATTTTGACAGGATATGAGTTGTCTACAGCTAAGACAACCATATTGTTTTAACAGAATGTTTGGCTTTTGGAATGCGTTGCCTTCAGATGTGATAGATGCAGTTAATTCAAGGGAGTTTAAAGGAAGGCTTGATAAATATTTGAAGGATAAGGGCTAGCTTTGAGTGTTTTACTTTTATTTTAGAGTTTAGTATGGTGGATTGGACAGCATAGATGGTCCAACAGATCTCTTGTTATCCTTAAATTATACGTATATGTTTCTACCCCTTATTTAATATGATTTTTTTCTAAATTTCTATACATAATATGTATGTGGTATTAATATTAGTGGTACGTATCTCAACATAGTAGTCGATATCATACGTATCTAGATACAAAAGTTTTATCAACGGTTTGTTACAAAGTTTGACAGTCTTGTCTGTAATTTATTATCTATATTACTAACATTATCTTATTTAAGTACTTCACACTTTACAGTGCTTTTTCAATTTCTCAAGTTTGATCAACTAAATGGCAGCTGGCAAGGGAAGTAAAATATGAAAACGTTAGTATCTGTTTATTTCTTTTGTCATTGTTAACTTTGTTATGTTACTTTTCATGCAATGTTTTTGATAAAAGAAAATAAGACAACATGTAGTACCCAATACTCATCTTCTTTTATTGAATCATTGATATTTGGCAAAAATACTTTCTGTACAAAAGACTTATAATGTTTACTGAAAGCTTGCCAAATTTCGTGAAAATACATAAATCGTATCGTCTCGGACGATTTATCGATATAATCGTATCACGGCTTCACGATACGATACTCGTATCGTATTGCTGTATCGCCACACCTTTAATTCATATATAATATGTCTTTCAAGGGAATTCGTTTATTTATCTTCGCAAAAAGCTACCCAAGTGCTATCAATGCTAGCCTTGTCTAATTCCAAGTGATAGACTAAAGGGAAAGCAGCTAGTCAACACCTCCCACTAACAACTTTAGGATTGCTCTTTTTCAACAAAAGTGAGATATTGACCATCACATTATAATGCTTCCATAGCTAAAAAGGCGAACATATTCGATGACGGGTTTCGTTTCCATGTCCCGCAGTTTGCGAGTTGAGTACTCTAACCGCTAAGCTGTCGGTCAAGGGACTCACTAAGTTCCTTTTACCAAAGTTACCTACTAAACTGGGTCTTTCAACTATGGGGTGTCACATGCTATTTCATGTGTTAAAAATCTCTATAAAATGAAGCATACTTTATAGAAATGGATAATGATCTTCACAATTGGCAAGTTCAATAAGAGTAAATATCAGTCACAAGGGTAGCTCCTGCACCCTTAAAAGAATAACATTATTGTTTTGTGTATATAATGATACATTTTCTCAGTCTCGAACAGTATTAGGAATAGAGATTCATATATAATTTTAAATTTGACAATTTCTCTTCTGACAATTCTCCAGTAAAGGCACTTCAAAGTAAATTTATTTAAACTTTAATTGCTGTTGAATTGAATAAGAACGTTTCACTGTGTTCTACATTGTGTCCAGTTTTTTCTTTTCTTCGAACTCATCCAGGTGGAGAGTTCAGGTTTGCTCAATAATACATTTTCTGGTGGACTTTCAACGTGTTATTCTGCAGATGTAACTGAGAAAGCGTAATGCTGAATATGTGTTGTTGTTTTTGTTTTTTTTTCTGAACGCAAAAGCAAAAACGCAATCAATCAATATTTATGTACAGAAAATCACTTATAAAACTGGTGAAAGAGCTATGATTGTTAAAACTGGAAGAAATTTAAATAGATGGAAGACTTAATATGTATGTATTTCTTAAAACAGTATAATTCTCCCGGTGTGCATTTATTATCAATGTAATTTGATTATTCCATAAGTAAAAATAGAAAGAATATAGCTTCCAGGTATTCCTAAACTTCTATATGACCGATGTTACTAGAGAACATATTACTACAGGTCTAAGATATTCTCCATCAGTACATTCCGTGGTAGAGTTCGGAAACATTAAAGTGGAATTACTCTTGACAATATATGACTAGCTCAGGAAAAAATGGTTCAGCATCCCTTTATTGTGCATGTCTGCATATTGATGAAAAAGAAATGTTCACTTTTTTAGCTAAAAGAGAAATGAGTATATCGTATTTTTTCAATTACATCATTTTCTTTTCCTTTAAGCCCCTCAGTGGCACAGAAGCATATCTGTGGACTTAAAACGCCAGAAACCGGTGTTACGACAACGGAAGTCGCGTGACGCTAAAAGCATGGGCGCTGGAGTTTCTGGAAGGATCGTGAATTATCGGGGAAGCCCGAGTTTCTTCGATGCGCCCTTTATTTTTTTTTAGTATATAAGCCTGGCGAGAAAAACCAGCGCAATAGCATAGATAGATAGATCGAAGAGATAGATAATTGAGTCAAGCAAACAGTAGGCACTGTAATTAAAGTGTGTGAATCACTGTGATTTATAGCGTGTGTTATAAAGTCTGTTAAGTTTAAAGTGACTGTGGAAATTCTGTGTATTACAAAGTTGTATCGAGAAAGAATAAACTAGTTTTAATTAAGAAAGGACTTGTATCCTGAAGTTCCTCAGAAAAAAATTATACAGGAAATTAACAAACAAGCAGATACGTAACAAATTGATGTCAAAGACTGGGAGATAAAAGAAGAAGAAGAAGAAGAAAATATGGAAACGAGGATATAAAGGATATTGCGTTAATGCAGTGTATATTAGTATCTGTGTTAAAAGGTTTGGTACTTTAATATCCTTTGCTGTGAAAGAATATAGGTCACAAGGTGACACTGTCGACTGGACAAATAATCCAGGCGCTCTTTATTTAGCCAATTTCTACTAGGAGATTATCAAGTAAAAACATCTGGCGAAAGAAATAAAGCTATGCAGCTACACACAGTTTAGGAGAAAGGCCTGTTTCGTCTGCATAGGTACGCACACTCTATTTCCGTTTATCTTGTAATATTTTTTTTTTACTTTTTTATTTTGTACAGACTCGTTATTTTACACATAAAGGAACTCATTCAAGTTATCTATTACAGAAAACTCCCTCTATTTTTTGATCGAATTTGTTTCATTTTATTTTCGGTTTTACCTGTCTTATACTTTTAGGAAAATCGGTTTTACCTGAATATACCACACGAGCATCACATGAAACCTACGTTTAATTTCGATACCTTAAATACGAAATATTTAGCCATAAATTTAAATAATACATTTTGAGGATACTTTCGAGATTTATAAGTGATTTTAATGAAACATACTTTTAATATGAAATAAAAGATTTAAGTTTGTTATATCAAAACGATATTGAATATGCAAATCACACGACAGCTGATATAAAGTTGCGGTGGTGTGGAATGGATTAGAATTATATTTTGACATTCTTTGGCAATTCGTAGGTAGTCTGATGCCACTGAAAGGTCAGTAACAGCCTGTTCTGTTGCAGAAAACTTACACACTCAGATCATAAATATGTGTGGAGATAGGAGGTTGGGAATTTCCAAGATGAATATATCCTTTGTACTAATGAAATATCAAAATGGATTAACTTGGGAGACCATGACAAACCAAAAAAGAAACCTGCAACATGTTGCA